ACACAAGCCCTATATTGTCGCAAAGCACTAGTGATCTCTATCGTATGATGTGCAGCTATGACTCGTTTCCTATGCACGTAAGACTGGTAGCAAATACCCTCTCTGACAGGTCCTCAGGTGACTGTGTTTACTTCAATGTTCGCTCAACTAACCGGTTTTACAATGCTGCTTTCCCTACAGAATTCGTTTGCCAGTCTTCACACTACATTATTCAAAATTCATGTCATGAGTAAGAGTGGCGACAATATAGGGCTTGTGTGGAGTAAGATATGGGCCCGTAGACTATTGCTAGTATGTTTATGTGAAGGCCTAGAGAGTGATTCTCACCGAGTTTTTAGTCGTTTTGTATAATATGCGGATCACGTGAGATTTCACCCGGTGTCATCCCTATATAGAGAGTCTACCGACTCTCTGATAGTAATCACTGAGAAGTGCACGATGGTGTAGCTGTAGAAGTACATCACAAGAAAGCTGGTGGCCATTGGGTGGACTGTCATCTATTGCTTTGTAACCTATCGATTCTTATGAGGGAAGAAATGTAGAAATAGCTTCGCTGAAAGAGAAGAACAGATTTTGTTGGGGATGGAGTCGTACTCAGGTGTTCTGGCTTGAAAGTCTAGCACTGACTCTCAGAGAAAGACTGGTCTTCCTAATTCACTTTAAATCGTGTGTTAGCTACTTCCAGCAGTCGTTGCCTACCTGGCAACCTCACACGGGCACCAACCATGTCATGTGATGCAACGAAGGGAAGTTTTTGTTAGTAGTTTTGCAGATTTTATAGCAGCTATATACGTAGCATGGGTTTCTGGGTGATGAATGTGGGTCACTATGTCATTTTATATAGAGCAGTGTAGCAAACTGTACAAAACATCAACAAAACTAACAGAAATAGTGTTATGATGTCAAACTATCTCTTCTACCTCTGTTTGGTCCTTTGAAAAGTTAATAAATACCTGCAGAGGCCAGAGAACTTAATAACAAACCAACCAACACTAACAGTAATCTTTCGGTAGATACTTAGGTCTACTACTAGAACATTTACAACACATTTTTCGCAAGCAAATTAGAGACATACAGTGTGACCTTCGAACTTGCCCATTATAAGTGGCAACTCGTATTAAGGAATATTATGCACACTTTTTAACTACTAGGTATAATGTGTAGCTACGTAGCTCCCAAGAGGGACACCTGTTCCAGAGTCCTCTATTCCCAGTCTGTCTCTGTGTTCCTCCATCTCTGTGGCCCAGCGCAGATCCTCATTGCACAGCTGGTACGTCACTGCACCCTGTCCCACAGGAATAATGTTATGCCAGTAATTATGTGTCAAACGAAGTATATAGCACAGCAAGGGCAAAGTGATTAATTCAACTACTAGAAGGTGAATGCAGGGCATTTTAGGTGAGGTGAGCGAGCACACAATGACTGTATCTGCACAAGCCATCCTAGCCTAAGTAAAACTTGCATCTTGGAAGCACAAAGATTGGAAAGAGTTGCAGCTTATAGGTCAGGTATCGAAGAGTGCAGCGAATGCTGCCAAATGGACGAGAGTTCTCTCGCTGACTGGATAAAAGTTTTCAAATCGTTTCGGATAGAAAGATGCGCGTAATAATAATGCATGCGCAGTTGGACGACGTACGGATCAGTAACAATAAATGACAGTACGCAGCTAGCTACTTGACGTACAACTCGACCAGTTCCACTGCTATGTTGTCATAGGGATGATATAAACACATTCTCAGCTCGAGGTCATTGCAAGTTGTCTGGTTGAGGGTTTTGGTGAAATATGGAGGATTGTGGAAAGAGCTACATGTACTGGTGGAGTGACACTCTTCACCATCCCAGAGAGGGTCATTGGAGTGGAGTCTCTCCCATTCTGTCTTATTCCAGTACCCAGGATACACATACCCTGACTCACAGAAGTAATCCTCTCCAACAAATGGTGGGATGGATGTAGCTCCATTGTCACATGGACAGTTCCATACTTGGGATCTTGTATCATTCTCCCATGCTCCGTTAGCAAATGTCCAGATGTGTTGTCGAGGACTGTCATGCATTACAGCAACACCACTGACATAGGCACTGTCAATTGTAGTTTGTCCACCAATATATCCCCAGTAAAAATTGCTTTCTTTGAAAGATGATGAAATGTATAATGCAATACCTATGACTAGCTACTTCCAGCATGATAAGAATTTGTGGTGCACCCACACATGATGTGGCAATGCATGTCTTGCCCGCTCAACGTAGCTACAGCATAGAGTAATGTGAACATCTATAATATTTACACAGTTGTTAGTGTTGTAGGACAATACGCAATAATATTTGACTGTCTTTACCCTTCAAATGCACCAGGGGAACTCAAGAGAGTCAATCAATTCTGTTGTTACATGTGGCATGATAAAAAATTTGAGATATATACATGCCTCAGGAGACTCCTACTGCACAAAAGCGTATACTTTTCAACTACGCGAGCATTAGGTTGCCGAAGCACAACTGCCAGTGACGGGGAAATGTTTGTGATCCAAAGGTCCATGTTCAGTTTAAGCTCTAGCTTTCAAAATTATTCAACCGTGTATTTTACCACGTCTAAACATTTTAGTACTGTAGCAACTTGGGTTTTGTAGGGATTGTTACTGATAAATGACCAAAGAAGAACAGCAGAGTGGCCATTTCGCAAGAGAGCCAACGTTGTATCAAATGAGCTATTAGAGTAAGCTCCATGTCAAGACTTGCTCCGAATTTCAACAAGATACACCCACAGGGCCAAGGTTTTCCTATGAACTTGTGCCCACTCATGACAATGGATGAAATGAAACCTAACCTGAAATCAAAGGTTGATGCCAGTTGTTCATGAATATTGACAAGATTACACACCTTTAAAAACTGCTGTTGCTATTCTGTGAGAAGAAAACAAAAGGTGTCTTACTCGGCGTTAACTCTCCAGGATTTTCATTATTCAACTCATACTTGCCAGAGGTCTAGTTTCGCGCACTTCAGAGCGCGATTTTTCTGCGCAACGATGGCATCAAAATCTCGCGTCATTCGCGTACAAAACGCCTTCCATCACAGGGTCTGATGTGAAATCCGAATTTTTGACAAGGCAGGTATATATACATGTAGTAGTTGGAAACAGATACACATGCGCATGCGCATAACCCTTAGGGTCACGTGAGAAACCTCAGTGCAGCTATATTATTATAGTAATCACTGCACAATGGTGTAGCTGTAGAATCTTAGCGAGAAGTACATCAGAAGAAAGCTGGTGGCCATTGGGTGGGACTGTCATCTATTGCCTTGTAACCTATCGATTCTTATGAGGGAAGAAATGTAGAGATAGCTTCGCTGAAATAGAAGAATGGACTTTTGTCGGGGATGAGTCGAACTCAGGTGTTCTTCTAGCACTGACTCTCAGAGAAAGGCTGGTCTTCCTAATTCGCTCTAAATCGTGTGTTAGCTACTTCCAGCAGTCGTTGCCTACCTGGCAACCCTCACACGGGCACCAACCATGTCATGTGATGCAACGAAGGGCAATCTTTGTTAGTAGTTTTGCAGATTTTATAGCAGCTATATACGTAGCATGGGCTTCTGGGTGATGAATGTGGGTCACTATAATTATGTCATTTTTATATAGCAAACTGTACAAAACATTTCAACAGAACTAACAGAAATAGTGTTATGATGTCAAACTGTCTCTTCTACCTCTGTTTGGTCCTTTGCAAAGTTAATAAATACCTGCAGAGGCCAGAGATATTAATAACGAACCAACCAACACTATAACAGTAATCTTTCGGTAGATACTTAGGTCTACTACTAGAACATTTACAACACATTTTTCGCAAGAAATTAAAGACATACAGTGTGACCTTCAGACAATTTACTATGCAACACTTGCCTATTAAGTGGCAACTCGTATTAAGGAATATTATGCATACTTTTTGACTACTAGGTATAATGTGTAGCTACGTAGCTCCCAAGAGGGACACCTGTTCAAGAGTGGTCTGGCTGACAGAGTAGTCCTCTATTCCCAGACTGTCTCTGTGTTCCTCTATCTCTCTGAAGACTGTGGCCCAGCGCAGATCCTCGTTGCGCAGCTGGTACGTCACTGCACCCTGTCCCACAGTTATGCCAGTTATGTGTGTCAAACGAAGTAGCACAGCAAGGGCAAAGTGATTAAGCCAACTACTAGAAGGCAAATGCAGGGCATTTTTGGCAACGTGAGTGAGCACACAATGACTGTATCTGCACAAGCAATCCTAGCCTATGTAAAACTTGCATCTTGGAAGCACAAAGATTAGAAAGAGGTATAGCCTCGGTCAGGCATTGAAGAGTGCAGCGAATGCCGCCGAATGGACGAGAGTTCTCTCGCTGACTGGATAAAAGTTTTGAAATCGTTTCGGATAAATAGAAGTGCGTAATCAAAATGCATGCGCATGTACGGATGTATGTATAATTATAAATATAAAAATCGTGCTGTTCAGACCACTAGGTTAGCTCGCTCCTGCTAAGGGGCAGCTGTAAAAAAAAGAGGTGCCCTGGGTGGGATTCAAACCCACGACACTCTGCAGTCTAGCCAAGCGGTGTACCACATGTAGGCAGCAAGCAACGGCATGAGTATTGAGCTTGAAAATATGAGTAGGCAAATAATTTCTATGGCTGCAGCTTCCTGCATGTATGTACTAATTCCTACCCATAAGTGTACTCGAGTAGCCTATAGCATTGGCATTTGAAAACATGGGCAATCAAAGAGGACAGTATAGACAAACACATCCATTGCAGCACAGGTTATCATTTTCTAGTAGCTGGATACCTGGTGCTCCTCTAGAAGATGGGCTCCTGGAAAGGTGTCGTTTATGAAATTGTGAAGTGGACTTGTGTCAAAGTCACTGTTGTTGGTAGTGATTGGTACGAGATGGACATATGAGGAAGAAGCCCTCCTCCTGTTTAGTGTAAATATTATGCACAATGCAACTCTCTTTCTCAAAAACAAAAAATGGCCTGGCCCCTTCATATTGCAAGAAACTCAAGTGAGAGTGTTGGGAGTTATTGGTATCACTACCAACACTCTCAAAATATACATTTGAGCCCTCCTCCTGTTTCATAATGCACAATGCAAATCTCTTTCTCATCACATCAATCATCTATTATTATATGTCCAAGACAGTGAGACTTACAAGGATATTCTTGGTGAATTGCTTAAAACATCTGCCTTTTCTGGTGTCAGCTTTTCCTTACTAGAATGTGACAGTTTTCTTCTAACTTTAGCTTGTAGCAAATATCCAGATCCATACCTGTAGGCACAAACAGCAGTCACCCAAAAGTTATGTTAGTACGACATACCTGTTCTTCAGGTGTTGTATGCTGCCGAGACATTTGAACTGGCCATTGACCATGATGGCAAGTCTGGTACACAGTGCCTCACACTCCTCCATGCTGTAAAACAATGTACGAATTTCATGCCATGAGCATCCAAGAATTGGTGTTAAGGTTGTTTATACATAGGTCTCACAAAATAGTACTAAGTCACCACAAACACGTTTAACCAAACAATGTACAGATCTCACAAGTATGCATTACTGCAGTCATATAATATAATACCTATGTGATGTGAGTATGATGCTCCTTCCCTCTCTAGTAACTCCAGTCAGAACATCCCACAGGTAGCGACGTGTCCCTGGATCCATACCTGTAGTTGGCTCATCCTGAGGGGAAATCAATAATCAGTATACACACAGATATGCATTACATTGAGTGTCGATAAAAGAAATGTGGGTAAGCAAAATGTCCTCACCAGTAAGATGATTGGGGGGTCTCCTATTAGAGCAATAGCAGTGCTCAGTTTCCTTTTGTTACCACCACTGCAGCATTGTTTGCACTCCACACAATCATGTGCATAATGATATACCTATACCTGTACTTTCCACACTGTTTGCTGGCATGTTTGGAGAGGTCAAGTCGAGCCACCTCAGCCTCCACTGCCTGACTGATGAGAGACTCTGGAATACCTCTCAGTCTGGCAAACATGGTCAGCAGCTCTCTCCCTGTCATCCTCTCTATCAGAGCATCAAACTGAGGGCAGTAGCCAATCAACTGTCTAACCTGAAACAATGACAGTGAGTGGAACTAGCATAACAATCAGTAGCTAGTTGGTTTTAAGAGGTGCTATACTTTCCTGCAAAGACTATGGTATAGGAGTGTTTTTCAAGTGAGTCTTCTTGTAAATACTAGCTACCTCTAACCATTCCAAACACTAACCTTCCTGGGGTCAGTTCTGATATTGTATCCAGAGATGATGGCAGTGCCGCTTGTCGGAGCAGTGTCTCCTATCAAGATGTTGAATGTTGTAGTCTTACCAGCTCCTGAATAACAATAGCAAACTCGGATACACACACTACAGCATGTTGATGCTAGGTCCTTCCGTTTGCCTGATTGAGGCAATGACTATGGTTACGGTATGTACTATGCGCTATCTACTAACTGTACTTAGGGAGAAAAGGGGAAGACCAGCTTTTGTCTGAGGGCTGTGGCTCAGTGCTTAGTGTGCTGGTTTCACACTATATTATACACTGTGCCTGATTTTGACTCCAAACAAAAGGTTTTTTCTCTCTTTCTCTCGACATCCCAGTGTAAGCCAAGAGTACCAAAGCATGTTTTCAATAATTATGTGAGCTCTCTCCCTTAGGAAGTGAAAAGTGATGTAGTTACACACAGAACGCCTGTACACAATGTACCGTTAACTCCCAGTAGTCCAAAACATTCTCCTGTGGGTATGGCCACACTGATTCCCTCCACTGCAGTCTTAGCTGGTCTCATCTTGAACCCATCCAGTGACCTAGGGTACACCTAGCATTACAAGTGGGAAAATGGTCAATTCGATAGGCTTTTCTTTATCCCTAACACCTGATTCTGGCCTAGTGTTCTTCACCCTTATGAAGGAAACTCCCTATCAAAGCATTATACGCTAGGTGCACCATGTCCATCCCTATACTAGTTACTAACATACGTAATGGAGAGAGAATCAGTCTCAACAAACCTTGACAAGGTTCTTGATAATAACAGCACTGTTGTTGTCCACCTGTCCCATCGCCACTCTCCGTGCCTCTTTCTCCACATCACTATCCTGTGAAGTAGATACAGGGCACGAAGCTATAACCCCACATCTGCCAACATGGGATTGGTGAGAGGGCTCCATGCCTTTGTGGTATTTCAGAGAGCTAATCCCACCTTGCACTGCACAAACATTTTTGACTCGCATTATCGTTTTTGATTGTTCTGCCAGTTGAATGAATATCACCAGGAGCTCTGTGATTCTAACCCAATGTATTGCATAGATAGGTATGGCATGAAGATGTGATCACGAGACTGTGTCTCTCTCTAAAATAACGCAATGTGTTTGTCCAAAACTTTTATCTCCGCTGTGGGAATTGCAATTTATGTATATGTATTTACACTTGTTCATCAACAAGTTGCTATTGCAACAGTCACTGAAGTACAAAAATTCAGTCACAAGCACAAAAAAAGGGTTCTACATGGAACACACTTAAGAGCTACTATATAAGTCATGTGATAAAGCTATATAAGTCACGTGGTATATTTCCACTTAAATATACCACGTCATTTACCAGAGGTTAAGTCCCTCATCATCACGGTTGAGAACAGCCTTGACTTTGATAAACATTGCCAAGTGTAACCTCTTTAGGAATATCACCCAGTACAACGCAAACCCAGTGATGTAGAGAAAAGGGATGAGAGTGGCCAGTATCAACAAACTCAGATGAAAACCAAAGGCAAAGAGGTTTGGGCCATCATAACCCAACACATATACCACGAGAGCAGTGCTCCATAGTAGGAGACCAAAAAGGACTATCATGTCCAGTTTCAAGTACAAGTTCTCCTTGTACGGCTGACACATGGTAAGTAGACTCATATAAAGTGATAGGGTAAGTGGCATTAGCAATATTGTTGGTTTCTGATAGTGCGAAGCATCAAAGAAGAGAACCAAGATAAATCTTAGCAACAGATGTAGTCCAGCAAACCAGCGAAAGTCCCTCGTACCATTTGTACCGTCTTTGTAGCAACCTTGAAACGTGTCCGCAAATATATGCAGAGTGGAGCACTGCCATTGACGTCTGTTGAGAAATTTCTGAAACGATTTCAACGGATAGAGAAAGAGGAAAAGTAATGGAACGAAAATCAAGACAATCATGAGGAGAAGGGCTGTGAGCGCATAAGGGAGATGGTCCAATCCAAAGTATGCGAAGGATGGGTCTGTGTATACTTTGGTTGTGAGACTTCCATCAGGAGAGTAGATGTGGACTGGCTGGAGGATGATAAATGAGGTGTAGCCAACCTTTATCACCGATAAAATGATGAATGTCGAAAACGCATCAATCAAAGAAGCTTGAATATCAATGGTGTGTCTCAGGCGAGCTAGTCCAAAGATTATTGGTTTACACACACAGAAGACTCTGTATCCACGATGGTAATACAGATGAATTGAAATATACACCCCAAGCAGTATGACCAGTGGAAAGAGAGCAACTAGATACTCCAAATATTTCGCTTGCAGAGTAGATATGTGAGGACCCAGACACATCTGAGGGTAAAAGGAGCGAAAAATGTCTAGATTCCACAAACCAAAGAAAGCAGAAAATAGCTTCCAGCACATCTCGCGGTGACCATCTGGAACATAGGAGGAGGCGTATGACCGGTGTTCCTCAGGGACAAAGAGAAGAGAAAAGTATTGTGGTGATGTCATGACTTGACTGGCTAGGACGAAGGTGCTCATGGGAGGTCTGGCCACACTGATTCTCAGGGTCATGATTGCCAGACAGAAAACTGTCAGAGGTAGAAAAGATGCCAGAAATGCTACAACGGAGTCTCTCACTACACTGTGGGGGCATTGAGCACACTGCATGCCATATGAGTAGACCAGAGGTCCATGGCCACCCACACATTGAGAACAGAGTACACCGGTTCTCTTCCATACCTCCCGACACACTCGATAGTCCAGCTCAGTCTTGTTTGAATACCAGGTCTCTAGTTTTGCACATGTGTACGGACAACTTCCCACCACAGTCTCCTCTGTGGATCCATCGACTGTCATACAGTAACAGGCCTCTACTTTTACACTAACTGGGTCATCCTGGCAGGTAACAATGTCTCCCAGTGAACTGCCACATTGACAGCTGTTGTTGCCCCATACAAACCACGGCAAGGAACAGGAATTGGTCGCCGGGAGTTGTGAGCTCAGTGCAAGCGATCCAGTGAAATAGCAGACTACGAATAGCTCTACTGTGGCTAGACTGACTGGACACATAGCTATAGAATCCTTAATGTGTATACCTTGGATCTTATCCTACTTAAAAGTGGGTATAGGCAATATACGCATGATACTGGTGGAGAAAAATACAGAGAATTTTGGGAGAAGATCAGAGTTTTTCAAAACCTTGAAACGAAAAGGCTCAGTGCTCATAATTGTTTAGCACTTGCTGCCCTCTTGCTGTGTATATAGTTTGGAACCACTTTTGATCACATAGTGTTAGGAAATCCAGATGTTTCGGGCACTAGCTAAGGTAGAAAATGCCAACGCCGGCATTGACATTAATCCTGAAACATATGAAACAAAAGTATGACGTGCGAGAGTTCTGTTAAAGAACAAGGGTGGTAATAAATCACTTACGTAACTCTGTCTGTTCAGGACGGATGAAATTATTTGGAGCACTTTAGCAGTTACCAAATTTGATATGTAATTTATGAATAATTATGCCTCAACATGCTACGATGCGTGTTCCTTGTGAGCCAAATGATTTTCGTTAGTATCTTCCTTCAAGGTTAAATGGTTAGCTAATCATGTAAATCAAAGAGCAGGTACTAGAGATTTGCATAATCTCAGATTTCTAACCAGTGCGTATGAAGAGCACAGCTCACTTTGCATGCAGGGATATTGTGTGAGGACCATTGGTACATTTTTTACCTTCTCCAGGGCCTTCATCTCAAAGAGACTGTTGGTGACACTGAAGCTCATCTTCCTGTGGCTCTGTCTCGTCTGGCACAGCTTAGATATCTCTCTGGTAAAGAAGTGCCACTGCAATAATATAATTGCAACGGTCCATTCATTAACACTCAGGTTGCAGTCAAAGTAGTTAGTTTGAGAATTCTATCACCAGGTTAGTTTGAGAATGCTAATGCCATAACTCTAGAAAAGTAAAGAGTTACACTGTACAGCTTACTCACACGTACCTCAATGAAGAGGGTGAGTATGAAGAACACGAGGCCCTCCACAGACATGTAAATGAAGAGTATGCCAATACCAGGTCTGTCCAGTGAGAACAGGTTGTCCACATACCTCACATCATTACTAGCACACGATCTGTAACAGAATGGCAGTAGCAGTTACATAACTAGCTACCCGCTGATAAACATACATAACTCGGCACTCCTTCACCTCCAGGAAAACATTAAAGTGTAAGACACTTACTGCCTGGCCAAGGGAGTGAAATTGCAGATCTCTTTCAGAAAGTGATTGATGTAGATATCGTTCAACCCTATACCAAGCCTGTAAATCAGAGTATTAGCATTTTCATCATAATTATACGTATATAGATAGTGAAACAGTTACTAACGTGTATGCTGGGTTAAGTAGGAAGACATAGTGAAGAGTGTCCTTTATGAGCTCGTCAGAAATCACCAGCGTGATCAAGAAGAAAATCTGTGTGGTAATGATACATAAATAATATGCTCTCTAACGAATGGGGGCAGCCCTCACCAAACAGGAGACGAAGAAGGAAACGAGAATGACTCCGAATGCAACGAGAGAGTTTTTGAAGAGAAATGAGGCAGAGTAGACGATTGGAATACTGGACCAGCAGGTTAGGATCTGACAGACCAATTGATAAAAAAATAATGATTGCAAAATGGTGCAGCATGATACGTACGTATTAGAGAGTCGGTAGACTCGGGATGACACGGGTGAAATCTCACGTGATCCGCTTACAAAACGACTAAAAACTCGGCGAGAATCACTCCCTAGGCCTTCAAAACATACTAGCAATAGTGTACGGGCCCATATCTACCTATACATGTCCCCCAAGAGCTCATACACACCTTCAGTCGTCCACGCGAGAATTCGTAGATGACTTTCAACAGAGTGAATGAGTGCATGTCATGCATTATTTGCAGAAGGTCTGCTTTTCTTTTGTGGCACTCACATAACCAAAAGCATGAACACCAGATTTGCTGTGGTTTGTTATTATGTAGCTCATGAAGCCCTTCCCCTCTCTTCCTAATTTTCTATTTCACTCCATGTGCAAGGCCAGTTTACATACAAAGTATACACTACTATAGTAGGTGAATGCATGGCATTTTTCATACCAGGAGGCATGCGATGGCGAGTAGAGCAATGCCAGAATAGGGCTCCACGTGAGCAGCAGCAAAGATGGCCACGGAGAGACTCAGGGGGAGGAGGGAGTTGAGGAGGTCCCAGGACAGGTGGGCCAGCCAGAAACTTGTCACTGTAGCACCACTCACAAACTGGAGATGCTTAGCCTAAAACAGTAACAGTTATTATTGCTGATAACAAATCTACTGACTGGCCTTTCAAAAAGCTAACAACCTGCTTAAAATTGGTTTTATACAAAGTGCAATTATAGGCAACAAGCTTCAGCAAGAAGCACGTGCAGTAACGATTATTACATTGAGCACAAATGTACATGGCAGTTAAAGTGGAGCTCAGCATGGTCACTACTACGTAGTCCAGGTGCTACATCTAGTTAACTACTGGAAAAGCATGTTTATCTACCTGAGCAAGGCACGTAAAATGCAAAACTGTTATATAGGAGAGCAGCAAATCGCTAAACTCGTTACCAACATCTGACCTTGTTCTCCCTCTCAGCCACAAGGACGAGGACAAAGCTGGCCACAAGGAAGCTGTACCCAAAGACAACAGTGGTGCCCACATAGTAGCCATCCAGGTTGACCTGCTGAACATCAGTCTAGGGGAATGCATGAAAAACATGTTTATAGCATACTAGCTAAAAGAGAGGAAAAGAAAAACCTCCCCCACCCAAGCACACAAAACACAGACAATAACATACTCAAGCGTACAAAAACACAGACAATAACATATAAACAGAAAGAAAGAGGCAGGACCCTGGGTGCCCAGCCTTGAGAACCGGGGTGGTAGGTTAAAGAGTCTTTTATGGGCCCAACTCTCCCTACACACCCAGTGTCCCAACCTCCCTTACACATAGTTAGATAGAAATCATGTACAAAAAATGACAGCTACAGGATAAAAACAACAGCCGGTAGAAAAATAGAAAGCCTCAAAGGACCAATAAACTCATAGAAAAATATAAAAACTCTGAAACTCACGCAGCACGACGACACGACGGAGACATAAAAAACGTGCATACAAGTCTGCCATGCAGAGCTAGAGGTACGTATATACAATACACACATGATCAAATTTTAAGGTGCATACATAATAATGTATGTGTCATCAAGGAGGTCAAGGTACAGACAAACGACTCAACTACACAGAGGACAATTCCAAGGAAAAATAGCTGCCCTAGGTGGGGTTCGAACCCTCAACACTGCTCTCTAGAGGGGTGCTCTACCAACCTAGCAGGTACGTACAGCTAGAGGTTCGAATCTGCAACACAACACACTGCAAGATAAAGGTAAACCTAGAACAAATGTCCTATGGCACATTACATTCTGAGTCAGCTTGTATATATACAACAGGAATAAATGAAGTTGATGGAGCTAACCAGTCTTTCGAGATTGGTGCGAGGTAGGGGATGGTTGTTGATGGTGAGTCTGAGGTTGGAGTTGTTGGTGGCCTGTCTCAGCCACACATTGTGGAAGGCATTCAGAGCTGCTGCCGACATGTGCCATGGCTGCCGGCAAAGTGTCAGATACTCATTCACACATAAAGCTTAACCTTTAGCTACAAAGATACAAAACCACAAAGTATGCCACATCTCTATACACACTGTTACGATAAGCAGTTGTGTACTTCGCACTCAGAATATGTAGCAAACTCCGTTATAGCATACAGTGGAACCTCTGAAAAGGACTATCCGAATAAGGACACCTCTCTATCATGGCACTTGGTTCTAAGTGTATTATACCACCTCCGAATAAAGGATACCTCTGAGTAAGAGACACTTTCAATGTCCCCAAGGTGTCCCATACTCAGAGGTTTCACACACTGCAGTACATGTGTTTCACTCACTCTGTTATTATACCAGACAGTGACTGAGAGAGTCTCCTCAGAGTCTTGGTAGTAGTGAGCTGACACCATCCTCCCTCCCTCACAATCCCCACACTCACACCCTCCCCCTGTCACATTCCCACACCCACATTCCCCGGCCCTCTGCAGGAGATCCGCACTCAGTCCGTCAACCTCATAGTGATGTGGAAACTCCACTGCCTCACACCCTCCCTCCATCACACCATCACCACTCCAAACATCACCACTATCACCAACACCACTTCTATTTCCACCGTTCCAGGAATTAAGTCTATCACTTGACTTCAAAGCAGGGCAGACCCCAGTTTGAATCAAAGACGGAACAACATAAACGGGTCGACTACTGTCACCACCACACTCGTGCAAGCTATTGAAAAAGCTGCGGCAGACAGTCTGAGTATTAGAGCAGCCACAGACTGAGTAAGGAGGATCTCGCCTGCGCTGGACTACAAACCCTCCCACTACCCTCCGCGTAAACACCGGAGCTGTGATTGCATGCGACAGACGCATGAGGAGTTCGTCTACGTAGGGGATGTGTGTGTCCAGGGGTCCAGAGGTGGAGTTACTGAGGAGGTCTTGGAGGGAGATCTGGGGCGAGGAGGGACAGAACTGGCTCTCTTCGTAGGTGGTGGGTTGAGTGAGAGGATGGGTACAGGACGGGAGACGTGTGACACGAGATTCACAACATCTGTTAGATAGTGAAATTCACATGGTAGGTCAAGGCTTGATAATGAGTGGGCTAATTGTACCAGTACAAGTTATAATATACCGCAAAGCAACATGAACTTTTTGCATTTCGGTAGCAAAAGCTCACTAGGAAAACTTTCGTGCATCGCTGTTCCCGCAATACAAATAATAATCCCCACCTACAAAACAACTATTGCGAAAGGGGAAAAAAACTGTTTTTGAAAATTATTTCTCCCTCGTAATTTTCACGTTATTGTAGCTACGTACATACACAGAAGGTATGCACTACTCACGATAAGCAGTGACGGCAGTGATGGTAAGGAAATGAGTTGATGTGACTACATGTTACATCCAGCTCTTCCTGCAGTAAGTAGGAACAAAGTAGCTAAACAAGAAAACACCAAACTTTTTCATCAATAAGGACATGATTATACAGACAAAGAGCAGAATCACAGTTCATGAATTGTGAATGTTTTCCTCATTTTAATTGTCTACTAAACGAAGGTCATGAAAGTACAAAAGGAAAAAATGTTGTTATTGGCACGTAGTTCAATCCACAGGGCTAGGTTGGACAATAGAAGCAATAGAAAAATGTAAAACCTGAAACTCATGTCTAGCTAACTATTAATGGGTCCTACTGATAAAGGAATTTATTCCTATTTACATGTATGTATGTATGTACGTACGTATGTACGTATGTATGTGTATTTGTGTATGTGTTTTGTGTGGATATTTTGGGGTTTGTAAATATGGTGGTGGTGGTTTTTATTTATTTCTCTATCTATCTATCTATCTATCTATATACCTATGGCTGGTATGCTATGAACTATAATTTCATGTATGTATGTATGTAGCTAGAGGGACTCACCACAGTGCGACTGGCGCAGAATTTGTCCAGCATCTGGTAGGGGTAGCGGCAGCAATGCTGTGTGTCCCTAACTCTCTGGACAGAGGACACCAGCTCCAGGACCTCACGAGTGTAGTCATGGAGCTCAGTGGCACCCAGGGAGCCAGCCAGAGACTGCAGGAGCAGAGGTACAGCTACTCAATTTTTGTCCCAAAAAAATTGCATGGGGAATAGTCAAGCCACATTAAGCCAGTGAGAAAGGTCTTGGAACAAGGAGATACAAAGTGTACATGTGCTTGTCAACAGTTTTCGTAAAATAGACATAGTATGTACATACGTAGCGCCCAAACATAAGTCTTATATACATATGGACGAACAAATTATTACCTCATCAGAGAAGTCAAACAAACTGTTGGAAGTGTTGCCAGCCAGTAGGGGTCCAGCCTCTCACTGCCAAACTCTGCCCAGAAGAGTGTCCTATTGAGACCCAGACTGGACTCCCTGAGTCCCAGCCTCCTGAGAGGGTCACTGGCATCGTCTGTGAACAGAATGGTCCTGGCCAGCACCATGCCGTAGCCGACAAAGAAGAGAGGGAGGAGCAGCTGGGTGACGGCTGCCTGCCAGAACCGGAGGGAGGTGAGGAACCTCTTGACCAGCATCCCCCAGTAGCGCTGGAGCCAGAGAGTCAGGCCAGAGTTGAGGTGGACGTGGGAAGAGGGAGGTGGAGGAGCAGAGGGAGGAGTCGGAGGAATTGGGACTCTATGACAACCTAGAATGAACAAGGTGTTAACATTTAGGTGTGATTTATTTCCGTTTCCTAATCTGGTAAGCATGCAGGACGGCACTGAAACTGGCTGATCTTTGTACCAGTTTTGAATATGAAGTACATTCCGCAGCCAGGCTACTCGACATCTTGCTTCATAAAGTGCTTAAAATGTGCAGTGTTATGTTCCTAATGCATATGCAAATTTACTAATTTGACGTGCAGAGCATTTGAGTGATTGGGAGTGAACTAGACTAGCAGAGAGTGCCAAAAAGTTCTTAAAAACAGGCGCATACACATACACAGTTGAATGGGGTACCAACATCACATGTACTGATGCATGCTAAAGGAAAATCACATTGGACCATTAGGTAAGCTACAAGCTCTCATTCGTCAATTATACAGTAGACTACCAGGACATAGGTATGTACAACAAGCACCAAGACATACGTAGGTAGCTACATTGTGCTAATAAACACATTGGTTATGCATTTGCTGAAGATTTACCGACAGTTTCACAAGGTCCTTTCTCACTGTCACTGGCTTTATCACCGCCACCAGTCACACTCCCCCTGTCACCTTCTCCACTCTCTCCCACACACACCCCGTCAATCTCCAGCACAGCATCACACCTCCCACTGCTCCTAACCTCCACCTCCCCCTCTTCCTCCTCCTCCTCCTCCTCCCCCTCCCTCTCTCCCTCCTCCATATCGCTCTTGTCACCAGTGTCACCAGTCACACTGCCACTAATACTCCTCCTCAGCCAATTACCCCACGAGATACAGATCATCTTGGGGTACCTCTCATTAGCAAACCCCTCTCCATCCTCTTCCTCCTCTCCAACCACTGCAGTCGGAGGAGATGTGGATCTCCCAATCTTGTCTCTCTTCTCAAAAGCCTTCAACTCATCCAACTCTATTTCTCGCTGGAGACTGGAAGAGCTCCCAAATACTGCTAAGTCAATATTGCGACGGGGTGATTGCGGGGTTGGGTTATTGTTTGCTTCGTGAACTTCGGCCGTTGTGGTGACTACCACCCTGTGCTGCGGTGTGGATGGTGATTGTGGTGATATGGGTGACTGCGGTGAGGGTATTTGTGGAGATGGTCGTGAGTGATGTGACAGGAGTAATGGGGAGCGAGGCGGGGGTGAGGGGAATGCAGCTGTAGATGTACTTTTCAACCTGCAAAATGTTTTTATGTACTGCACCATATGTACATACGCACACCAAACAACATCCATTAGTGGAGCGTTTTGCAGAATACGTACACATTAAACAGTAAAGGTAGGCTGATAAATGTACGTATTGTACGTTGTGTTGTTTGCTTAATTGCCTTGAGATCTCGTCGTTGACACAAAAGTTTGTTACTTGGGATTACATGTGGAGGGGACAAGGCAGTTAACCTGTGTGAGAGAGTCTCATCGGCTCCTTCCCTGACCTTCATGAACACCTCCTCCATGGTCGTCACCGATATACCATAGCTGGACACTCCCAGCTCTCCTTGCTCCGCTGTGGACATGCATATCATACATATGTACAGTTGTTTACTCCAAAGTAGGACAAACACCAGTTGGTGGTACATAATTATTACACAATGGGCCACCTATGGTATATAGGTACATAGCTTTATCGATTATGTTTTGAGTCACCAAATCTGCTGATCAGCATTTTCCATTGTTCTGCATGAGCTCGTAACCCATGCTCATAACCTGTTTTTCTTATGGCATACCTACCATGCATTGGGTAACCAACAAAAAATCTCAACTCAAACCTTAGTCTTAAATGAAGTAACAAGGGCTTTAGCTTTACTAAGTAAAATATCTACATTATCAGGGCTATTACAGGGGGTGACCTTCCAGGGTGTCAAAGAGAGGAGGGAAGTAGTGGGTGGCAGAGGAAGGGAGGATGAAGGAGAGCTCAGCTCCAACATTAGTGGCCATCTGGGACCCAGGAACCTTATCCAGCACCAACTCACTCACCTGGACATTATCCCAGTGCAGTATACACATACTAGAGGAATGCAACACATTTCTTGGCGAGCGAAGCTAGGAGCTCAATATTATTTCACACACGTTTTAGCACGTATTTATAATCATGATTGTATACATTACGGTGTGTTTACCGTTACAGAGGAATATTATATGGAAAGATATGCCGCATTCAGGCGAGTAGGTGGGCTCGCTTCGCTTGTCAATTAATTATGACACTCACACTAACAACATAAAAAAGATGTGGTGGTGTGGTAGTCATACGTACGTATGTTTAGCGATTGCCAAATTATTGCCCAGAAATGTCAGTGTAACAACATCCTATGCACAATAATTATCTGTCAATCATAAAACCTCTTTATGGCTATGGCCAGCCAAATTTATACGGTAACATTTAACGCATGAGCAGTTTGCTAAATATATCCATAAAACAGTGCATAAAATGTACATGTGCATACCTTTGTGGTATCACAAGATGGCTCCTTCACTATCACCATGTGATATCCCACTCCATACCTACAATAACGTGTAATTCAGGAGGCAACTCCAGTCTGTCGCTGGCTATCAGACAGTAATTGTGGGACTGTACATACGTATTTCCAGTCCTACACTCTTAGTCTGTGCTTTCTGCTAGTTGCCTTACACACCTCTCTCTACCTAATATTTTTCATTCAGCCGGTTGTGTAAATTATCAGACTATCTACTACATATACTGGTGGTTGGGTTTCAAATTCACCTGCTCTTGAGGAAGAGGGAGGAGCCAGAGCAACGGAGTTTCCCCTCAGCCATGATGGCAATCCTGTCTCCCAGTAGGTCAGCCTCATCCCTGACAGAATCACCATCTCATGAAACACACACACACAGCCACCACTGAAGAGGACCTCACATGAAGTGAGTGGTGAGTAGGATGGTCCTGCCCTCCTTGTGCTTGGCCAGCAGGTCCCAAGTAGCTCTCCTGGCATATGGATCCATTCCTGATGTTGGCTCGTCCAGCACCACTGTCTTTGACCCTCCTATCAGGGCTATGCCAACACTGCGGCAATGAGAGAAACATGTACATGAAGGTATGTGATGCCAAGAGAAAAAAGGTGCAGAGCTCTGGACAGCTGTTTCGGGTTTGTTGGCCCTCATCAGCAGAGCATACCTAACCTCTCTCTCGTACAATTAATTTATTAGCAGACTCAGTATAAAAAAAAAGTTTTGCAACTCGACCCACAGAGATATTTGTATTTTCATGAAGCCATAGTTATTTACGTATCATTTGCTAGCTGGATCGACGTTAAGGCGGCTAACGATTTAATAGTGGTACATTTCCCGTTTAACTCATAGACACAACTGACACAGTACTGTCATGCTGAATGAAGGTCCAAAATTTCACATGTACGTACGTTATCAGTGTTAGACACAGACCTAAGTTTCCGTTTCATGCCACCGGAGAGGTGTCTGGATGGAGTGTTCCTCTTGTCTCCTAGCTGGAGGTCCTGGATCATGGTATCTGCTGCCTCCTGGACTCCTCTGCCATGGACACCCTGTACAGATGGATGGTAACTAGTATTTGCAGGACATAGGGATGGCTCTATAGGGATGGCTCAAAGCATGAAAAAATAAGGAAACAAGTGTTAGGAAAGACACACAAAGCTGACATCATCCCTTTATCTTTTCATTGGCAAATGATGCCAGACAAAGATAGGGATGGTGTCATGTATGTGTCTTTACTGCGTAAATAATCCCCTTCGTTTGGTTTTTTTAAACTTGTAGAAAGCACCATTCTATATTTTTGACTAGTCTAATAGTTAACCCTAACAATGTATGAATAGCTTCACTACTGTATTTTTCGTGCCCTGGATGCTGTTTAACCGACATATTATTATAGTGTTGTGAGCAACCCACCTTTAGTCTTGCGAAGAACTTGAGGTGCTCCAGGACAGTGAGTCTGTCAAAGAGGACATTGTGCTGGGGACAGATGCCGAGACTGTGTCTGATCTGGTCCATGTTGCTCCGTATGTCATATCCATTGATGACTGCTGTACCTCCCGTCGGTGTGTATAGACCTGGCAACAGAAGGGAAAGGTGGAGAAAGGGAGAGGGGGGATGGGTTTTACAGGTACATTGGATTGGGGAGGGATTTCCATTCCAGCCCTTGTCAGTCATGTGGCTGAAAAAGAGATGGAGATTGAGGGACAGAAGTTAGGAGGGAGATAGGGAAGGCAGAGAGGTTTTTTAAAGGCTGGAGGAATGAGAAAAGCCAAACTTGAAATGGAACTGATCCTCTGGTGTGCAATATACTCATTTCCTTATTAACCCTCGGCGCGCATGCGCAGCGAGAGTTACAGTAGTCGTTCTGTCTGTCCGTGCGAGTTCTAGCACTACAGGCTACGAGACGGCCAATTAATCGCCGGAGCATGCGCTTGGTTGTATATACGATCCACGGCCTCCTGTCAGTTTTGATCTCTGTTCCCTATATGGATAAACGATAAACATGCTGAGCAAGGTATGTTCGCAATGTAGCATAATAGTTCAGGTGGCGAGCAGTTTGTGGTTGCGGCCTTGCCTTCGCATCTATAAAACGTCTGGCGAGAGCATTGAAACACAGAAGAGCAGATAGATTGAATAAAGCAAATATGAGAGCCTCTAAAACACAGCTATTGCTCTAACCGCTAATGCAACTGCCCTGTGTTACGGTGAGACTCGTGTTACTGGCTCTGTCGATGACGCACGGCCCAGCATACAGCAATGCTATATACAACTCGCTAGTTTACCGCCGAGGGTTTGCACTTTAGTGCTTTTCATTAAAGTGGGAATAAGGCCCCTCTTCCACCTCTGTAGAAAAACCCTGAGAGGAACGAGGACTAAGGATATCAGGAAGCGAAGTCATGGTACCGGTGAGTATGGAGATGGTGGTGGTCTTGCCAGCTCCATTGTGGCCCAGGAGAGCTGTGATCTGACCCTCATACATGTTGAGATTCAGACCGTCAACTGCAACCCTTCTCCTAGTCTCGTGTTTTGTTGAACTTTGGAAACACTTTGAAAGCTTGTTCTGGGAAAACAATGTTGTCATGGTGGAGTGATAGCATAAACCTACAAATGTACATACATTATCATAGATCTTGATGAGGTTCTGAACACTGATGCCAACAGCCATGTTGCGAGGTTCCTCCTCATGTAGATCATCCCCACTCCTCTCTCCACCACCTCTCACCTATGTACACACAATGACAGTAAACAACACATTACGTAGGTATGTGCCCAAATTTATACACGCAAAAGGGTCAGTATCACAAGTACTAATTGCCAGTGTACCACGAGAATCGTTAAACATATTTGCGGTCATAATGCACAAAGCATAGATGAGCGCTTTATTGACTCTTGCGTGCAAACCACACTCAGTATTACGAGCATGAACAGCACGCTTAGCAAATTATTTAGCAAAAGCTTGAGCTGCTGTGCCTCCATGAATCAGCGAAGATTAAACAGGCCCCTCTGGGAAGCTCCAGGTATGTAAGTCTGTTTGCTCCAATCCAATACGGAAGCCCATAAGGGCCAATTTTAGATCATGGAAATTTCCATTCCACACTACAGTTGTGGTTGAACATTACTTCCTTATTCTACAGAACACTTCCATTCTGCAAACGCTCCCCTTTGGCACATGCGCTACATTGCAACCTCTATGAGGCCAATAGAATAGAAGGGTATGTTTTTAAGTAGAGTAAAAGGTCTAACTACTCGCACAAATGCAACCTCGTTCTCGTCACACTAGGCTATCACCAAGAACACTGAGACAAGTTGTTGAAGCTATGCACGTAAAGCTGAGCATGTCGGCTCAACACAAGCGCTGGGATTAGTAGCTAGTTGGTCCATGATACTATATAATTGGTCATTTTGGCTGTGCACGATTCTTCCCAGCTGTCTTCTGAGAGCCGGGACAGTACTAAGTGTGCCATCTTCAACGGAAACGCTGTCACATGTGTCTCATTCTCTCATGTGTTGGAGTATACTCGACAGTAACATACATGTGCCCAAACCCAGGAGGGGCAAAGGCAGCTCAGCTGGCTGTGATACATTAGTTGGCGCAGCACCTTGTTTATGCAAAAATACTAAAGTAGCGCATGTGCCGACGGGGTGCGTTTTCAGAATTGAAGTAGTCCGTAGAATGAAGGACTAGAACGTTCCGTAGAATATTATAGAATGGAAATATCTCCACTATAGAGTCGAAGTTTCCGTTGTAGAAGGGAAATATAATCTACAATGAATGGCCCTAATGGTCTTCCGTAATACAACCTTGTGCAAACAGTTAAGCCTGGGTAAACAGAGAGAAGTAACATCACCTCTTGTGAGGTGGTAGTACAAGGTCTGCCAGTCCAGTAAGATGGTTGGAGAGGGAAATAGAATGGTCTGGGGACTCCATACCTTCCTGGTTTCACCTCATTCACATACCTACAATGTATTCATATTGAAAAATATATGTTCATACATTGTAGAAATTTGTGACGGTAAAGAAACAGTTTACATTGCGCAATATGCTTGATCAGACACGGCCCTCTGTAATTCTAATAAGCTCTTTGCGACAGGAAGACTCTAAGTCTTAGCTTAGGTGTATCATGAATAATGTTGGCCCAGTGCTAATTTTGTCTATCACATGATGCATTAAGTGACCTTCAAAGTGTACATCTACAATCTTATGTAACTGTGGGTACCTTTCACAACATTAACGTATACGCCTCTGCATACAGAGGTAGCTGCACAGGTTCAAACGTACTACAATTTGGAAATCACACAGTACAGATTTACAGTACTACACCTCTAATGTTTGAGCATAGAATACAATCACAAATAGAGAGGACTCACAGCACAGGATTAGCCGTAAGTTTAAAAATTTTCCCACAACATTACAGCAGTTCAGATAAAAAGAAACAAGGTGTTTTCAAAGTTAGTTGTCAAAGGTCCTTGCACATGCAGTACAATAAGTACGGACATACCCACAACCAAAAATACTAAATGCTCAGCAAACCAGTCCACAAGAGGAAGAAAGAGACGGTGTCGCGAGGCGCATGACAAGTACACAGCAAATGTGGAAACAGTCCCAAGGTTAGGAGAGTTCGGAAGGGTGTCAGGGTAAGGCCATCCTGCCTAGCCTCCCACTCTGACACCAGGAGTTCACTATACTATGCACCATAAATGGGTGTTGGTCAGCACACAAAGCAACAGGTGGCTGGGCATGGAAGGGTTGAGACTTGAAAC